TAGCTGATTAAGTGATTTTTCCTAAAATGTGGCTCATTGTCCTACACTACCATTCTTCTCTATGGCACTTGTTCTCAAAGTATGGTCTAGGGACCCTTGGGGATCCCCAGTACCCTTTCAGGGAGACCCAAGATTTCAAAAACTGTTTTCATAATAATATTGAGGCATTTTAATTTCTAATATGGTAAATATCGATAGGTGTAATTCACATAAACAAAAGTTTTTTGGAGGGTCCTCAATTATTTTAAAAGTATAAAGGTGGTCATGAGACCCAAAAATTTAAAAAATGTTGCTCTGTGGTATTAGTTTGGGTGGATTTACCTAGGACACCTACTCAATAAACTTTAGGGTCTCCTTATTACCTCTGTGATAAAATATAATCTCCTCTGTCTTTTAAAGCCTTTCACAATATAGAGTCCAACCTATCCTTACTCCCTTTCATATATGCTATAGTCCAATCAAATTGGCTGTCTTATTTTCCTCACACATGATACTCTATCATCCATTGCTGTTAAATTTAACATTCATTTAAAAGAAAAAAACTTAAACTGGAGAACACTAAAAAAAATTGTACACAACAATTCAAAGTTTCATATACAGTCCTGTTTTGAAATATTCATATTTTGTTGTTGTTTTAAAAATTCATATTAAAAAGTAAAAATTTTTGAAATCCTGTGCTCTGGACCCTTCTTTGAAGTGTTGTTTTCATCCATGCTGGGCAGATGGCCCAAGTAGTTTGACATTTAGCAGACATATGGACATTCCTGTCTGCCACCTTCTATGCCCACTCCAAAAGATGCATTCCAATTAATACCAATAACATATCTATGATGGTCCTCTATGGAATCTGCAAGAGTGGTTTAATAAATTAAGCTGAATTAGAAATACAACCCTCCTTCAATCAAGTCCTCTTGACTCCAGGCCTCATGTTCTATCTAATGTGCCACCTAGCTGCCCCAAGAGGCTAGTCTATTGATCCTTTATCGCCAAATTGATAAAGAAGGTCTGTGGTCTGGGAAATAACAATCAGATGGACAGTCCCTTGAGTTAGCCCCTGTCCTTTCAGGGTAGCGGCAAAGTCCATTTCCTCCATCACCATTTAAGGGACATCCATATGTTAGTTCAACAGTGGGCTTGCTTTGTGGCATGGAATCCCTCTTACCCACTAACAGCCTTCTTCCTCTGCTAGTCTGATTGCAGCTGCTCCAGGAAGGCCTTGAGGATGTCTACAAGTACATATGTGACTCCTAGGCAAGTCACCTAACTCCTATTGCCTCCAGAGAAAGAGGGAGAGAGAGACTAACTAAAAAAGAGTCACCATGGATCTTATTGAGTACCTGGGGCTTGATGCTATCAACTAACTGATAATGCTATCAATCTCCTATTAGGGACATCAGAAGGACTTCACTATTCACAAGAAAACAATGGGCGTAGTTGATAAAAGTTATAAATTTGGAATCAAGAAGACAGGTTCAAATCCTTCCTCTAACACTTGCTAGCTGTGTGACCCTGGTAAAGTAGCTTAACCTCTCTCAGGCTTAGTTTCCTCATCTGTACAATAGGAATAATGAAAGCACTTACCTGGGAGTGTTGTTATAAGGATCAGATTATAAAAACTACAAGAGGCAGCTAGGTAGCATTGTGAATGGAGTACTAGATCTGGACCTGAGTTCAAATCAATTTTTTTTAAATTTTTAGGCACTTGGGGTTAAGTGACTTGCTCAGGGTCATGCAATTAGTGTCAAGTGTTTGGTCTGAGGCTGGATTTGAACTCAGGTCCTCCCAACTTCAGGGCAGGTGTTCTATCCATTGCACCACCTAGCTGCCCTAGCTGTACGATCTTGAGCTAGTCACTTAGCTTCACCATGCCTCAGTGTCCTCATCTATAAAATGAAGATTATACTGTTACCTGTGTCCCATGGTTGTTGTGAGAATAAAATGAGTTTATATTTGTAAAGTGTTTTACAAACCTTCAAGTGCTATACAAATGCTAGCTATTATATCTATTCAGAGAGATGCTATATATAAAGAGTATTGGGAATTTCAAAGCGTTATATAAATATCAGTTATTATTATTGATGTCACCCAATGAGTTATCAACTCCTCTGGGGAACAAATATTTCTCTGTTTTACACTTTTTCTTTTTGTTACTGACATTAAGAGATTAAATTAACGCCTAATGCTGTAAGAGCTCAAAATGTTTATGTAACAATTCTAGGAGTGTCATTAAAGCTACATTTTGCCCTACTGAGTCAGGAACTCTTGGGGGTGAAGGCATGTGGCAATTGATCAATAATACACTTGGCAGAATCTTGTGCTTCTCTCCCCCTTTAGTAAATTGCATGACTCTGAAGATGGGGTTTACTTGAAGACAAGCATTTGTGAAAGCCAGCCTGTTTGTCAAGCATGCCCGAGATAGCTGTGTAGATCATTCTCATAAAGATTTTATGACAAGGAAAAAGTAGTTATTGGCGTCCTTTAGATTGGCCTTTGGGGGTAATAATTCCATCCATAACTTTTTGTAGACATTCAGTACCTTCCCCTTTTTCATGTATATCGAAAATCAATGCCTCCGTGCTTTGAAAATCATGCCACCACCAGCTACAGTTTCTTCTGTGCGCACACGGTTTGGTCCATCTGCGTTTCCCATCTTTATCTGCTTTAGCGTGATGCAGCCAGCCAATCTGTTATCAAGACCCGTCAATTCCACCATGCTAACATCTCTTGTACACACCCCTTCTCTCCTCTGATGCTGCCACCACCGTGGTGGAGGACCTCATCACCTCATCCATGCCTGGACTATTGCACTAGCCAGCTGGTTGGTCTCCTGGCCACAAATCTCTGCCCACTCCAGTCCATCCCTCTCTCAGCGGTCAGAGTGGTCTTCCTAAAGCACAGGTCTGACCATGTTATACCCGTGTTCAATAAACTCCCATGGCTTCCTATCACCACCAGGATTGAGTATCCTCTGTTTAGCTTCTGCAGGCCTTCATGCCCTTACTTATCCAGACTTATTATGCATCCCTCCCCACCTTGCACTCTGCCCTCTAGCATCACTGGCCTCTTTGCTATTCCTAGCACAAACATTCCATTTCCTGGCTTTTGGCATTTTCCCCTGGCTATCCACCATACATGGACTTCTCTCCTTCCTACCTCTGCCTCCTGGCATTTTAAGCTTCAATCGCCAAGGTAAATCTCACCTTCTTCAAGGAGTCTTTCCTGATCCTCCCTAATGCTAGTGCTTTCCCTCTGTTATCTCCAAAGTATCTTGTCTTATTTGTATCTTATTTCTTATTATATTATTTGTATCTCATATCTCATGACATTATCAGTGTATCTTATTTTATTATATTGTTTGTATCTTATATCTCATGATGTTATCAGTGTATCTTATTTGTACAAAGCGTTCCGTACCTTGTCTCCCCACATCAGACTGGAAGGTCCTTGACAGCAGGGACGGTTTTTCTTTCCCTTTCTTTGTATCTCTAGCAGCTGGCACAGTTCTTGGTATATAGTAGGTGCTTGTCACCTGATGACCATTTTCATATTTAGAAAATCTGAAACTGAGGTTTTATGATCCACATGTGCTGGTTCCCCTGTCATTGATTATGAAATAGTTTGTTATTGAAAATGAGAAAAGAAAAAAGAAAAAAAGAAAACGAGAGCAGATTCCTCCTGTTCTTCATGCATTTATGAACACTTCAGTTTTCACCTCTTTGGGTGATCTGTCAGTGCTGAGGTCTCATGCCAAGCTTTCTGCAGATTTTTTTCCCCTTCTACAGCAATTTACTTGTTTTGAGGCAATACTGTTTATAATCTTCCATATCTTAGCCCATAATGTTGTTGTCATTCAGTCGTTTTCAGTCATGTCTCATTCTTCATGACCCCATTTGGGGTTTTCTTGGCAAAGATGCTGGAGTGGTTTGCCGTTTCCTTCTCCAGCTCATTTACAGATGAGTAAACTGAGGCCAACAGGGTTATGTGACTTACTAGGGTCACATAGCTAGTAAGTATCTGAAGCCAGATTTGAACTCAGAAAGATGAGTCTTCCTGACATCAGGCCAGACTTCCATCCTGTGTCATCAGCTGCCCGTCATCCCAGAACATGTTTTAGAACAACTTGATATTCTAGACTGGTGTGGCCCTTGGCCACCATGAACTCTTCAGGTTAACAAGGAGAATGAGATGGTCTTTTTGAAAAAAGAGGGGGAAAGAGAGAACAAAGAAATAGGATATGAAGGAGCAGAGAGGAATCTAGGCCTGGGTCAGGCAGTTGGAGAGTAGAAAAATGTGGAGCATAGGAGAAATGGGCATAGGAGGAAGAGAGACCCCTGAGCCCCTGGAGCTAAGAATCACATATGAGGCTTTCCCCAAAGAGGAGAGACCAAGGTGCTCCAGAGGAAAAGCAGCTGCTTGTCCTCCAAGGAATAAGGATGTGGGTCCCAAGGTGCTGTTAGGTGAAAATCATCTAGTAAAAATCAGAGGAACAAAGGAGCATTTCTTAGCGGTAAGAAATGCCTAAGGGAATGGTTTCAGAGGAACCTGGTAAGATTTGTATGAACTGATGCAGAATGGAGTGAGCAGAACCAGGGGAACAGTTTATATAATAATAACATTATAAAAACAAACAACTTTGAAAGACGTAAGAACTATGATTAACAAAATGATAAACTGTTATTCCAGAGGACCATTGATGAAGAAGGTTTCTCACCTTCTGACAGTAAGGGGATGCAGAATAAGACACACATTTTAGGGCACGAATCTAGGATTATATGAGAATCTGTTTTGCAAAAGTACACATATTTGTTACAAAAGTTTTCTTCCCTTGACCCAGTGGGGAGAGGGAAGCAGGAAGAAATTAAAATAAATGCTTGTTAATTGAAAAAAAAAGTCTTTTTTTTTTTGAGAGGTGACTAGTGGAGATTGGTGCCTGCCTACTCAGGGGCACTGAAACAGTTATTTGTCAACCTAATAATAAGAGAAATCTGCTGTCTTACCAGGCTCTGTATCCAAGAGAACTTCCCAAGACTTGTCAAACCTGAAGATTCCTGTCTGCCTCTAGTGATTCACTGGGGACCCATCTGATAGTGCCAGAAGAATCATTAGCATTGCTAATGACCATGAAGTCATGGGAGAGAAATTGAAGACCTTCAGGACACAGGTGGAATTTTCATCATGGCATTAGATCAAAGGTAAAGGAGTAAGAAGAGAAAGGCAGTATGGGAAAGTGCACAGCTGGGAAATAAGATCATGTCTGAGAAGGAGATTTGGCATTCTGGGCCATAGCTTAAAATAGACGGGGCTGCCTCCGGGTCCAAGATGCAAGATACCTAAGAAGGGCTGGTCACAATACATTGGTCTGAATTCTTGCAAATCTAATCAAAGGGCTTTCAAACCGAAAGGGAATGAGGAAGGAGAAAACCCGCCCATCTAAATCCATTCAGCTAAATACTATAGAACAAAGAGTCTTGTTAGAGATGCCTAGAAGACAAAAATCCAAGAAAGAAGCCAGTAATAAAACCAAAGTATGGGTAATGGACAAGACAAATTAGAAATTTTAGAGAAAATTAGAGAAAAATTTCATCTCATAGGTATTACTGGTGGGTGAGATGAGATTCGTGTCTGGACTATGGCTCTGAAAGCGTGGAGGTTAGACTAGGTAACCTGGAGTCCAGGAGACCTGAATTTGAATCCTTCCTCTATCTGCCTCAACTTCCTCATCAGAAAAATGGGAATAATAGTAACACCGATCTCTTGGAGATATTCTGAAGATAAAATGAGATAACAATTGTAAGCTTTAAAGCACTATATAAATTCTAGCTATTTTGATGATAATAATGATGATAAGCCTTCCAGCTATAAAATTCTGTGAGATGGTTCTAGGCCTTAGGTAGGTGTCTTTGGGGATCAGAAAGATCAGGGACTCTTAGCCTGAGGTCTACAGACTGTGAACTTGAGTGAGGAAAAAAAATTATATCTTAATTTCCACTAATCTCTAACTGAAATTTGGTATTTCCTCCAATTATTTGAAAATATTATTCTGAGAAGGGGTCCATAGGTTTCATCAGAGTGCCCAAAAGGGATCCGTGACACACAAAAAGGTTAAGAACCCCTCATTGCCAGTATATGGACTGCAATCCTGCCCCAGGCCTTCCCAGAGCTGGACAGACAACAAGACTGAGGCTCCTCCACTGCTGGCCAGGACCCTGAAGGCGATGCTCTGGGACCAGTGACCACTCATCTACTTTAAAGCCTATATTGTATCAATCTTTCAGGCTAATGCTGGAGAGAGGAATTGCCATCAGGATCCCGGAATCACTGGGCCTGGTTTCACAGATTACAATTTCATCGATTTTTAATTAGAAAGAATAATGGATAGGAGGAAGTAAGCGAAGCTATATTTGCCTATCCCTTGGCTCTGATCCCCTCACAAAATTAAACAGCTGAGCCGATGGTTCAGGAGATAGAAGCTGAGTCTATGTAGATTTCCAGTTAGTTTGATGATGGTGATAGTGGGAGAAGGAAGGAAATGGTCAAGTGAAATGTGGGCAGAATGATGGTCATCAGACACATCAGAGTCAGAGACACGCACACGGACACACCCCCACCCCCTGCCAGGATGATTGCTTATCGATTTTCTCCCTGCCCAGATAGCTGAGACATCCATTCTATATCTGCAGGGTTGTGTTTGTCACAATCACAGTAAACATAAAAGGTCCCAGATTCAAAACTGGGCAGGAACAATTGAGAAACTGAGGCTGGAAATTGTCTTGCCTTTCACCTGAAAGTGACTGACATTAGTCAGCATTTAATAAGTTCATGTTGGGGGCAGCTAGGTGGCACAGTGGATAGAGCTCCAGCCTTGGAGTCAGGAGGACCTGAGTTCAGATGTGACCTCAGACACTTGACACTTACTAGCTTGTGACCCTGGGCAAGTCACTTAACCCCAAATGCCTCACCAAAAAAAAAAAGTGTGTGTGTTGGTTGCTTGAGAGGCAGCAAGGTGGAGTTTTGAGTGGAAAGAGTGTTGGACCCAGGAGGGGGTGGAGGGTGGGGCATGTCAGAAGTCTTAGGTTCCAGTTCTGCCACTTACTAGCTGCATGCCCTTGGGCAAATCATTTCCCTGGGTCTCAGTGTCCTCACCTGTAAAGCAAGTGGGTCGGAGTCAGTGATCTTTCTAAGATCTCTTCTAGCTGAGGCTCTTTCAAGGGCTCAAAACTATTTTCTTAATACTAAGACATTTTCATTTCTAATATGGTAGATCTCAATAGACATAATCCACAAAAGCAGATGCTCTTTGGGGTCCTCAACAAGAGTGCAAAGGAGTCCCAACACCAAAAAGTTTGAGAACTGATGATCTACTCCAACTCCATTTTTACAGATCAGGAAACTGAGGCCCAGAAAAGTGAAGTCATTTAGCATTTAAGAAGGCTTTAATAAGTGCTCACTGTGTGCAGAGAGCACAGTGCTAGGAGCTGGGGGAAATACAAAGTTTAAATGAAATAGAATCCCTAGCCTCACAGGATCAGAGATTTAGAGGTTGAAGGCATCCAAGCAGGGATATAAATATTTAACAACCAGCTCTGAGGTGGGGGGTAAAAATGTACCAGACATCCTTTTATGTTTAGTCTGCATTAGTTACATTTTTCCATCACTTCTTAAGGCTAGACCATCAATAAAACAATAAATCAAGCCCCGATTTGTTGATACAGGACCCCCAAGTTGTAAATGCCAACTTGGCCCTCGGAGCTCATGCCCTGGGCCTCAAACAGGGCTACAGAACCAGATCCCAGAGGGCAGAGAGTGGCAGCCCTGACTTGGGCCCAATCCATAGCCTCAGATGCAGAGCTGATTAACTCTAAAGACTGAGGCCAGGCAGAAGGAGGTTGATTGAGAGAGAGCCGAGGACGGCCGCAAAGGTCTCGCTCAGCCCATGCTAGAGGGCCCCGAGTGACTGAGTGAAAAGGAGGCACTGTGAGGACTCTTCGGGAATCGTTTCTAGGAGACAAGGCTTTGGTGATACATCTCTAGCAAGGCTGGAGCTCCAGTAACACACATGCAGCCCATCCCTCGGGCCGTCCGGACCGAGAATCTGTGAACCACTGGCCCCTTCCACGGCACAAGGAGACGTGCAGGGAGGACTGGAGTAAAGGGTTCGTCATCATTCCATATTAACTTAAGAGAAAACCCTCCTACCTTTCAACCTTAGCACCACAAAGCATCCAAGTTAGGTTGCCAGGGTAACAAGGCATTGGGGAGCCAATGACCAATGAGGTTTATAAGGATAATGGCGACAGCTAGGAAGGGGGGTGGGGCTTGAAGGGCGGGGCATTTTTGTTTTTTATTGCTGTGTTCATTGAATTTGAACTTAATGGCTAGATCTAGGCCAGCATTATTATGATGCCCATTCTACCTGTAGGGGAAATTAAGGCCCACTGAGTCAAAATGACTTGCAAGAAGTAATGAGGCTAGGGCAGTTAGGTGGTACAGTGGATAGAGCTCCAGGCCTGGAGTCAGGAGGATGTGAGTTCAAATCTGGCCACAGACACTTGATATTTAGTAGCTGTGTGACCCTGAGCAAGTCACTTAACCCCAATTGCCAAAGCAAAAAAAAAAAAGGAAAATTTTTCTAAAAAGAGAAGTAATGAGGCTAAGCTCCACCAAAGGCAGAAATTTAAACTGGTGTGGGACCAAGCCCTCATCTTGGGGGAGGCTACTAAATGTAGGGAGAGATTTCTGAGCCAACAGAAAGGTGACATAATGGATCTTTGTAGATTTGCTCTGATTCAGGTTTTTCAGTCACTAATGACACCCAGGAAGGAGCAGAGAAGGTCAGTCAGTCAATGAGCATTTATTAAAGCTAAATTACTATGTGCCAGGCCCTGTGCTAAGCACTTTACTAATATTATCTCATTCGATCCTCACAACAGCCTTGTGAAGTAGGTGCTGTGATTATCCCCATTTTATGGATGAGGAAACTGAGGCAAACAGAGATTAAATGACTTATGTAGGGTCACACAGTTAGTAAGTGTCTGAGGCCAGATTTGAACTCAGGTCTTCCTGACTCCAGGCCTATCCATTTTGTCCCCTAGGTCCTATCCAGGAGAAGGCTTTGGAACAGCAATTGGGCTCAAAACATAGATGGCCCCTTTCTTCCTTCCTTCCTTCACTTCTTTCCTTCCTTCCTTCCTTCCTTCTTCCTTCCTTCCTTCCTTCCTTCCTTCCTTCCTTCCTTCCTTCCTTCCTTCCTTCCTTCCTTCCTTCCCCTTCCTTCCTTCCTTCCTTCCTTCCTTCCTTCCTTCCTTCCTTCCCCACTTCCTTCCCCACTTCCTTCCTTCCATTTCTAGTCACTCAGAGAACATCATTCTTTGTTTTCATGCTGGAAGGGGGAAAAATATTTTTTCCTGGCAGCTTCAGGGTAAAATTTTTCCATTAATCTTCCCTTTTGGAAACTGTGTGCATTTCTTCACCGGGACCAAAAGTAACATAATACCGAACCCAGAGTCTCACACCAACAAGAGTGTAGAAGCCCAGGCATGGGGCTTGTGCCGGGGCCACCAGCCTCCTTGATCCTCACAGAAAGAAGACCCAGGGGCCCGCTGTCCCCATTACATCCTGGAGAATCCCCTCCATGTCCTTTCCCATTCCCTGCCCCCATATGCACCCCCATACAAAATAAATTAATGAAATAAAATGAATTAACAGGACAATCAACAAAATAAATAGTAGAATGAAATTTATTGATAAAATAAATCTCAAAATAAATTAAGTAAAATGCATTTATTAACAGAGTAAAATGAATTTATAAATAAAATAATTAACAAAATAAATGTATTCATAAAATACATTAATTAATCAATTAATTAATTAATTAAATCCAAAATTAACCTTACACCATTCAACCACTCATAGTTAGTCGTTGAGAGAAAAAGCTATGGAGGGAAATCTCGAAATAACACAGGCGTTTGACAAACTCATTAGGTCATATTGTTAAGAACATACCCACATACACGCACATCTGGATATCAAAACAGAAATATAAAGAGGGTGAAATCTGGGGGCTGCCGCTGGGGTTTTGCCCCACCCCCACCCTCCCATACAGCAGGCCAGACTTGCTGTTTCCCAAAGCCCTGATTTGAGCTCAGCAGCCCTGTCTCCTCTCCTTCATGAGCTCATCACCTTCCTCTCCTTTCAGCATCATTGGGTGTCCTTGAAGGTGCAAACCTGAAGCATCTGGAGCCAGATGAATCGTCCAGATGTGCGATGGATCATTCATGCACTTTGTAGCACACCATAAGGCGCAGAAGAGGCCAGCCAATGGAGAGGCATAGACATGTGCCAAAAACGCTTGCCCAGAATTGCTCTGGGATTGACTGGAACGCATTTGAAATGCTCCCAGGGCTTAACAGAAATATGGCTCTGCTGATGAATGGGACAATGGTATGGATGCTGAATAGCTCTTGATTTCTTGGGTTGGCATGTCACAAACGCCTTTATCTCCTTACCTCAGTGCCAGGGGGTCCAATGACAAGATGCTTGGGTTCCAAAGATGCCATCAGTTAATTAGTAAGGTTTCCTATTTCACATCCTACTCTTGCTCTACCATTCGATTCAGGGGACTGGAGGTGTAGAAGAGAAATGACAATAATAATATCTCATGTTTCTATAGCACTTCAAAGTTGGCAGAATATTTCATGTACCACCAGGCAGGGTAAGTGTTAATCTCCATGTTCTAGATGAGAAAACTGAGGCTTAGAAAGGTTACAGACTGGTTTGTGGTCATAGTAAGTTTCTGAGAAAGGATTTGAACCCAGGTCTTCCTTATTCCAATGCCATCATTCTCTCCACCATCCAGCACCTGATGTATTCAGCTTCATACTTACAAGCAAGCCAAGGCTATTGTTAAATTTAGAAACAGAATATTTTCATTCAGAATATTTGTATTTTTAGCAAGTTGTCTCTTCTGATAGAATATAAGCTTCTTAAGGGCAAGGACTTTCATTTTTGTCTTTTTATGCCACATTCAATCAATCAATAAACATTTATCAAATACCTATTATGTGTCAGGTACTACACTATGCTAAATGCTAGGGATACAAAGATGAAGTTAAACCATCCCTGCCTTCAAGGAGCTTACATTCTATCAGGCAAGACAATATATACAAAAAAAAAATTCAAGGTCTTTTTTTTAAGCATGGGCATATAGGGGGATCAGGAAGGCCCTCAGGTAGATGGTAGCATTTGAACTCTGATTTGAAGGGAGGTAAGGATCCCAAGAGGCAGAGGTGACGAGGGAGAGAGAAAAAGAGAGATAGACAAAGAGACAGAGACAGTGACAGCAGTGACAGAGAGAGAAAGAGGGAGGGAAGGAGGGGGGAAGAGAGAGAGAGAGAGAGAGAGAGAATGATGGAAGATTGAAATCAAAGCAAGAAAGCCAACTGAGCCAGAATGTGTGAAGGGGAGTAAGGTGTAAGCAGTGTGATCAGCTAGGCAAAGTAGGTTGGTACCTGGTCATGAAGGGCTTTCAATGCCAAGCAAAGGAGTTTGCATTTGGTGGCAGAAGTAATAGGGATATGAATGAGAGTAAGTAAAAGGAATGAGTCCTAATAGGAAGCTGCAGGAGCTTGCTGAACAGCTTCGGGACATGGTCAGTCTGGTGCCTTAGGAACTCTCACTTTGGCAGCTCTCAGGAGATGGGATTGGAGAGGGGAGACACCCGATATAAGGAGACCAGGGGGGAAGCCGATGCAGTTGTCCCAGTGAGAGCTGATGAGTTCCGGAGCTAGGAGGGGGTGGAGAAAAGGAGAAAGATGGCTCACTTTACTCCACTGGGATTACTCCAGGAAGGTATGAGGTTAATACCCATCTAGTGTATTCACTACCTGAAAGCCAACAAAGGCCATTGTTAAATTTAGGAATTTTGTCCAAGGTAGGAACTAATAGCAAGTTGTCTCCCTTGATAGACTATAAGTTCCTTGAGGGCAGGAACCATTTTATTTTTGTCTTTGTAACCCCAGCATATTCACCTGCACATAGTAGGTGCTTAATAAATTCTCGTTGATAGATTGACTGCCATAGATGTGCTGTGATGCCATAGATGTACATGGTAGCGCTAAGGGCGGGTATACCAGCACATGTCATCTACAGGCAGGCCCGTGGTGTTGGAATCTGTAAGACACGCTGGTCTTCATCTGTGAACCAGGATCAGGTGAAGGCAGAGACACTGCCAGGTGCACCCAAGTATTTCAGGCCCCCAGTCCATGCTTCTCCCTGTTCCTGATCCCCATATCGAGCCCTGCTCTACTCCAGTCACTGAGGCTGAATGAATCTTAGCACTTCTGCTGGCCTCCTATCTCTGACCTCTGGGGGTGCTGATTTCAGCTGAATCCTTGCTTTCTTCCCTCCTGTGTGGACTGCTTGCCTCCTACACCAGCTCCACCCAGATGCCTACATTCCATTTCCAGGTAACCTGGCTCCAATTCCCCACTGCTCTCTTGGATGGTTTCATTGGCACTTGACCCTGACCCAGCAAGAGACCCTTAGCAAGAGGGCCTTAAGCACTTGGCACCAGGGCACAGCTGGCAAGGAGCTATTTACAGAGGTGGGGCTGACATGTCAGGGTTTGTTTTCCTTCAGTTGATCCAGGACAGCCACCCTTATAGAGGCAGGGAAGGAAAAGATGTTGATATGAGCTACAGAAGGGGCAATGGGGGCAGATGAAGGCCCCCTATCAATGGGGGAGTCCCTGCCTAAGATCTGAATCCCTCTGCAAATTTGCCCTATTGTGGCCAAGATTATTTACCACCCCTATTCTACCTTGGTGAAACCACCTCATTGAATACTTAACCAATCAGTCAAGAGTCATTTATTAAGCATTTGCTATGTGCCAGGCTCTGTGCTAGGACCTTTATATGCTAAAAAAGGCAAAAACAGAGTCTCAGCCCTCCAGGAACTCACAGTTCTAATGGGGGAGCCAATATGCAAAGAACTGTGTTCATACAAGATATACAAGTGAAAATGGAAAAAGGTAATCCCAGAGGCAAGGCACTTGTTCAGGGTAGACTGGGAGCTGGACCAGGAAAGATGGGATTTGAGCTAGTTCTGGTAGCCACATTTTAGGAAGTACAAACTGGCCAGTGTCCAGAGAAGGGCATCTAGCATGGTGAGAAGACTGGAGATCATGACCTATGAAAACCAGATGAAGAAACTAGGATTATTTAGCCTAGAGAAGAGAAAAATTAGACAGAGCATTATGGCTATCATCAGATATTCAAAGGACAGTGACATGGAAAAGGGGTTAGGTTTTTTCCCCTTGGCTCCAAAGGACAATAGCAGTAGAAATGGGTGGACATCACAGAGAGGTGGGAAAATAGAGACAAGTGTGGGGTGAGCAACTGGACCCACAATTCCACTGGACCAAAAAACTCCCGGATGAGGAATCTCCTTCAACAATGTAAGTCATCATCTTCTCTGCAATTTATAGTCTTAAAGAGTTAAATGAGAGATTAAATGACTTGGCCAGAGTTACACACCATAAAGCAATAAGGATAAAAATTAGCACCATCTAAAAGTGGAAAAAGCTATCTTGGGAAGAGTTGGATATCCCCTCACCAACGGTCTCCAGTTGGAGGCTCTATGACCACTGGTAAGGTTTCAGAGAGGGGATTTCTATTCAGGACCATGCCATTGGGCAACTGGCTTCTGAGATTCTTTCCAACCCAGAGATCCTGTGATTCTGTTTGCCTGGTGACTAAGCAGGACTCCAAGCTTAATTTCATTTCCACAATGTCATCCCCAAATAGGTTTGTTTGCTCCTTTCCTGGCTTAGAAGTATCCCTCTTGTTCTCAGAGCTGGGTCTCATCTAGACGCATCTTCCCAGTATTTTTATTTCTGTTTGTACTGCTTCTGGGAAGCTGTAAAAAATGACAACCCAGGTGTTTTATATGGTGATAAATTGTTTTGTTTTGTTTTTAAAATAAATTCTGCTGTTCTGATTTTGAAATCCTCAGTCTGGGCTGTGGTTAGCTCCACCCAAATGTTATTTTGAAGCTAGGGAATTTGAATTTCTGTAGAAATTCTGGCAGCCAATATACCCACAACACACACACACACACACACACACACACATTCCCTCCTTTTGATAAAACTCTCCCAAAGGAAGTTAGCTAGACTAGAAGACTTCTGGAAATATGGAATTTGGAATTGGGACAGGGGAAGAAGAGAGAGAGAAGCAGAGATCCAGCACCACAGAGCAATGTTGTAAGATCATGTGATCATAGATTTAGAGGTAGAAGGAACCTCAGAGAGTCACTGTGTTCCCCTCATTTTCCAGTTGAGAAAACTGAGGCCCAGTTAAACAACTTGGGTAGAATCATAAAGCTAATAAGTCTGAGGCAGGAATTGAACCTGGGTCTTTCTAACTCTAAACCTATGTACTTTTGTAGTGTAGTGGATAGCACTGGACTTGGTACTCTAGATTACTAGACCCCTGGGAATAAAAAAAATGGGTCTTCCTATCTTTTGTACTTTTGGTTTATTTTTCCTTTCTTTGATCTCCTCTCCTATTGTGGAATCTTTCCAGTTTACAACACTATGGGCATTTATTAATATAACAAGCCTTTTATGAAGCAATGCCTTCTGGGTATTCTTTTCTCATCTTTTGAGTTTCCATATTAACTTTCAACTACATTTTATCTTTCACACCTTTCTTCATTTTGAGGGCAAAAGTACACCATCTATCTTTACTGCTTGCTTTTCAACAGCTACACACCTCCCACATCCTGGGTGACCTGAACAGAGAACATTGACCCTGGGCCATTTGTCAGGAAAGGAACCCCATTCCTAAGCTCCTTTTGTAAATGGGCACCGACTCCTGAAAATTGGGATACAGGAGAAATGTAGAAGGTTATCATTCTTGTTCTGTTTAATGTCTTTTTTTTCATACATTAAAAGTCTATGAAATGGCAAATGTCAACTTTCAAGAATTTAGGAGGAGTATTTTTCCTGTTTTGTAGCTAAAGCTTTTTCTTCTGGACAGCTAGGTGGCTCAGTGGATAGAGCTCTGAACCTGGAGTCAGGAAGACCTGTGTTCAAATCCAGCCTCAGCCACTTATTGGCCTTGTGACTTTGGGCACGTCACTTAACCTCTGTCTGCCTCAGTTTCCTCAACTGTAAAATGGAAATCAAAATAGTACCTCCTCCCCCCAGGGTTATTGTGTAATCAAATGAGAAAATATTTGTAAAGTGCTTACTTAGCACAGCACCGGGCCCATAGTAGGTGCTTAATAAGTGCTTCCCTCCCCCTTGATGTAGTGCGATTGGATCAGGCCACTTCACCCAGGGAAGGAGGGAGATTGCACACCTAGAGGTTGCCTGGAGCAGTTATATGAATTGTCGATGGTCATGTATGTCATAGATTGAAACAGCTATAGTGACCAAAAAATATCCATGAGTATAATCCCTAATAGTAGTGAAATTCCACCGTTGCTGTGTTTGGCCTTATTTACCTCCTCGAAGACTGGTGTACATTTAAGAAACACCATTACCTTTGACTGCCGTTGCCCAGTTATGTCTGACTCTTCGTGACCCCGTGGACCATATCACCCCAATGCTGTCCATGGGGCTTTCTGGCAGAGATACTACAGGGGTTTGCCATTTCCTTCTCCAGCTCATTTGGCAGATGAAGAAACTGAGGCAAACAGGGTGAAGTGACTTGCCCAGAGTCACACAGCTAGTTAGTGTCTGAGACTGGATTTGAACTCAGATCTTCCTAACTCCAGGCCTAGTGCTCTATCCATGTTTATTATGCACCATTATGTGCTAGGCACTGAGCTAAGCACTGGGTATACAATTAATAAAAAGAAAGACAGCATCTGCCCTCAAGAGCTTACAATGTAGTTGGGAGTGGGAAGACAGAGAGACAGAGACAGAGAGACAGAGAACACACAAAAGGAAACAGGAAGGGGGCAGGGAGGTTGAAGAAACAGGGCATGAAGAATCA